GGTCTCACCATGCAGTGCAGGCTGGCCTTGAGCTCACTTTGTAGCCTAGGCTGGTTGCAACTCAAACAATCCTCCTGCCTCAGCCTCCCGAGGTTGGGACTACAGGCGTGAGCCACATCTGGCTCAAAAGTTGATTTTATGAGGGAAAAAAAATGCAAAAGAGAAATTTTTGTATATTAGATATTCAAGACATTTAACAAAACAACAAATGGGTTACTTTCAACTGAATCTCAGTATGAACACAGGCAACTCAGGTGAGTCCTGGTGCTAAAAATAATGACTACTGTACAGCCAGGTATAGTGGCGCATACCTGTAATCCCAGCACTGAGGAGGCTGAGGAATGAGGATCACTGCAAGTTCAAGGCTAGCTTGGGCTACAAAGTGAGTTCAAATCCAGCCTGAACCTCATAGTGAAACTCTGTCTCAAAAGACAACATATCAGAATTTGAGATCACCCTGGCCAACATGGTTAGAGGTCAGCTTGGACTATGTATAGACTCTATCTCAGAAGAAAAAAACAAAACAAAAACAAAAAAATAATGCCTGCAAGGAGTTAAGGTACAAGTTAACCTGGAAATAGCAGGGGCGCTGGGGATTTAGCTCTGTGGCATAAGCGCCTGCCTTGCAAGTGTATGGTCTTGAGTTTGATCCCTGGTACCAATAAAAAAGAAAAAGACAAAAGAAAGGGAAATAGCAGATGCAGACCTCATATTCAAAAAATCTGGCTGTGGAAAGAAACAGAAACAACAGTCATTGTTTTTGTTTTTGTTTTCCTTTTTTTTCTATTTGAGATAGGTCTCCTTATGCAGTTCAGGCTGGTCTTGAACTCACTTTGTACCTCAGGATGGTCCTGACCTTGCAAGGTCCTGACCTTGCAATGATCCTCCTGCCTCAACCTCCTAAATGCTGGGATTACAGCTGTGTGCTACCACTCCCGGCTTGTTGTTGTTTTATTTTTATTTTTTTGAGGCAGGGTCTTGTTATGTAGTGCAGGCTGGCCTTAAACTCACTTATTATGTAGCTCAGGCTGGCCTCGAACTGATGGCAATCCTCCCGCCTCAGCCTCCCAGTGCTGGGAATACAGGTATTTACTACCATGCCTGGCAGTCATTGGTTTTTTTCAGCAAATTAGAAAGTGAGCTCATGAGTCATAAGAGAGGAATTAAAAGAGAGGGTCACAGAAAGCTGGAAAAGGTTGAAGAAATAGCCATGGAGAATACAAGGACACCAGGAATAAGTAATTGGAGAGTAATTGTGATCCTGAAAGAAGTTAACATTATACTCAATCTGTGCTTTTGCTCCAAAAATTATGTTACAGTCTAGAAGTAGAAGTGAAGAAAAGAGCTGCTGAATATGATTCAAAATTTCAGAAGTGCTTATCTGGTACAGAAGATCAAACTCAGTGGAATAGCTTTGGATTCAATCCCCAATAATGGGAAAAAACAAAGAAAGAAAGAAAAGTATCTAAGTGGTTGCTCACAGAGATCTAGCTGGGTAATACCAAATATAATCATAATAAGGTACTGAGAGTATGGCAGACTCAATGAAACGGGAAGCAGCAAAAAAAAAAAAAAAAAAAAAAAAAAAAAAAAAATATATATATATATATATATAGAGAGAGAGAGAGAGAGAGAGAGAGAGAGAATATATATAGAAGCAAAGGGCTGGGGATACAGTTGGCAAAGCATGCTCAAAGCCCATGGTTTGATGGCCTGGGGATTTAGCTCAGTGGCATAAGTGCCTGTCTAGGGGCTGGGGGTTTAGCTCAGCAGCATAAGCACCTGCCTTGAAAGCAGGCAGTCGTGAGTTCGATCCCCAGTACCGATAAAAACGAAAAAGACAAAAAAAAAAAAAAAAAAAAAGAGCCCTTGGTTTGAATTCTAGCACTGCAAACACACACACACACACACAACAAAGAACCATAGAACCTACAGAAGACAAAAAGTTGCTTCTGAGTTGGGCATGGTAGCACATGTGCATAATCTCAGCACTCCAGGAGGCTGACGCAGGATGGTCACAAATTCAAGCCCAACCTGGGTACTTAGTGAGACCTTGTCTCAAAATTTAAAGAAGTGTGGGGCTGCGGATTTAAAGATCAGTGGCATAAGCATTTGCCTTGCAAGTGCAAGTGCGAGGTTATAAGTTCAACCCCCAATACAAAAAAAAAAAAAAAAATTAAAGAAGTGAGGGGGGGGCCTGGAGATTTAGCTCAGCGGCATAAGTGCCTGCCTTGCAAGCAGGCAGTCGTGAGTTCAATCCCTGGTACCGATAAAAAGGAAAAAGACCAAAAAAAAAAAAAAAAATTAAGAAGTGTGTGTGTGTGTGTGTGTGTGTGTGTGTGTGTGTGTGTATGAGGGGGTGACCTGGAGCTGTGGCTCAGTGCAAAGGTCCTGAGTTTACTCTCCTGTATGGGAGTGGGGATGGCTGCTTCTGTGATCTTGAAGTCATCAAAAAGCTAACTGGTAGGGCTGGGGATTTAGCTCAGCGGCATAAGCGCCTGTCTTGTAAGCGTGCGGTCATGAGTTCGATCCCTGGTCCCGATTAAAAAAAAAAAAAGGTAACTGGTAAAGAGATTAAAGTAAGTGATGAGGAGTACCTGAAGAAAAAGTGTCACAGATGAGGTCACAGACAAGGTTGTAAATGATTCTGCTGTGTACCTGGTTTGAAAATACAAAAGTAGGGGCTGGGGATTTAGCTCAGCGGCATAAGTACCTGCCTTGCAAGCAGGCAGTTGTGAGTTCGATCCCCGGTACCATTAAAAATGAAAAAAAAGACAAAGAAAATACAAAAGTAAAACTGGGCGTCATGTCTCATGCCTGTAATTCCAACACTCAGGGACCTAAAGCAGGAGGATTATTGCGAGTTCAAGACTGGCCTGAGCTACAAAGCTAAAGGCCTGCCGGGACTGCATAGAGTCCCTGTTTCAAAAAAAAAAAGGGGGGGCTGGGGGTTTAGCTCAGCGGCATAAGCACCTGCCTTGAAAGCAGGCAGTCATGAGTTCGATCCCCGGTACCGATAAAAAGGAAAAAGACAGAAAAAAAAAGAAAAGATAATACAAAGATAAATCAATGGTCTCAAGCTGAGGAACCAGGATATTGGAAAATCCCAAAGTGCTGGAGACACTGAGAATGAAGGAAAAAATTGGTTCAATAGGTCGGGGTCCTTCTGAGCACTAGAAAATGGCACTGAAAAGTTAAAGAAACTAGTATAACCACATGTCAATACCTTCCACAAGGATTATGTGACAGTAGTAGGGCAATGATCCAAAAGTAATGAAGGAAAGCAAAACAGTAAAATAAGCAAAAGAAGGGGCTGGGGATTTAGCTCAGTGGCTTAAGTGCCTGCCTTGCAAACGGGTGGTCACGAGTTTGATCCCTGGTACCGACAAAAAATTTTTTAAAAGGAGCTAGGGATTTAGCTCAGCAGCGTAAGTGCCTGCCTTGCAAGCGCATGGTTGTGAGTTCAATCCCTGATACTGATTTTAAAAAAAAAAAGCTTCTCTTTAAAAAGAAAAAAAAAATTTTTTAAAAACATTTAAAAAATGAAATAATAACAACACACAAAATACTAACAGAGAAATAAAGTATCTCTTGGTAGCAGGGTAAGGAAGATATGATGTCCAATTTTTATTAAGTCAGGGCTAAAGGTAAACATATACATATTGGACAAAAGTAGTATTTTCTAAGCACACACTGAAAGTTGCTAGTTAAAGACCTATTGAGTACACAGAATAAGAAAGATGGGAGTAGCAGTTTGAAAAGTGAAGTTTTCTTCTATGTTTTTTTTTTTCTTTTTGTCTTTTTCCTTTTTATCGGTACCAGGGATCAAACTCACGACTGCCTGTAAGGCAGACGCTTATGCCGCTGAGCTAAATCCCCAGCCCCGAAAAGTGAAGTTGAAAAGAAGTAACAGAAACCTGGGTTGTCATTTGGTACTGTAAGAAAGATAGACTGAAGTATATGCAACATGCAAAGCAACAAAACAAATAGCATAAATGGCACATTTTAAATCAAACCATGCACACCACTATAGCTGCTAAATGTTACTTCTACAAAAGACTACACATACACAATACAGTGAGGACTACAAAAACAGATCATCTTGCACCCACACAGCATTTTACAAATTTTCCGATATATGATTTCATCATCACCGAGTCAATATTACTACTTTGCACGTTTTTCTAATGACAAGGCAATTAAGATGGGACAGAACAATGAAAAATGTCTTGATTCTACTTCTCACATATACAGCAAACACTTCAAAATTTCAGGCAGGTAGGCTTAAAAGTGCTTCTCAAACCAGAAGTCATAGTGGGTTCTATAGACTTATCGAAGACCTTAGGAAAAAGGCCACTAGACACCTTCCTGTTTGCCTTCTCTCACTTTAACCCCCTCAATACCTATCATATTCACCGGAGAAGACAGAGAAGGGTAGTTTCATTAAGAAGAAAACTCGAAACTCAAAGTTATGTTAACTTTACACCTCTGACCCTCAGCGACCCAACAAGTGAAAATAAGAGTGTAGGAAAAATACTATGTGGCAATGAGGAGGTCTTCAACAGCTACAGCTTTGAGAAAAGGAATAAAAGTAGGGCTGAGGTAGTAGGGCAGAAAGCAGGTATAGCTAAGAGATATGGGTGAAGGGAAAGAGGAGGCAGGAATTGGAGGGAACTGACTGAAGGGGCTCATAAAGCTGGAAAACCCAAGAGACGTGGGAGCTCCAACTGCTAGACAAAAGCTCAGGGCACATATGTCCTGGCCCCGGAGCACTGAAAGACCCCAGGATTTGGGTGACTGGAAGCAGAGACCCCCCCCCCAAATACGAGACCAGAAGGGGGCGCAGGTGACACCCTGTAGGGGAGAATGAATGGGGAAGGCGGTCCTGGGGGCGGGGCAAAGGAGGAGCACAGGGATGGGCGGGGCACAGACCCCTTTCCAAGTTCGAACCCCTAACCCTAGAGCCCGGGGAGAAACCGCACCGCGACTCCCGCACTCACCGCCGGTCTCGTCAGTTACATAGGGAGTCGCCATCTTGAAAGCTCAAACCACTTCCGGCGTGAGAGGGCTGGGGTCCCGCCCCCCTACCCACCGGAAGTGGAGTTCTGTTCATAGCGAGCCACCATTTTAATCTTAAAGGGAGAGTGCACAATTTTACGGGCGGGGGAAGAAGGAAGAGGGAGCTAGAAATTCAAGTCGCTCATAAAATAAATCCTTGGGCTGTTACTGCTACCTATACTATTACTGAGCGCCAGATGCAAGTAAAACAGTCTTCTGGGCGCCGAAAGAAGTTCCAACATTCAATCCTCATACCAGTCAGGTACTCCTACATCCAGGACCTGCGAAGGGAAAAGGGCTTACAAAGCCCATCTGTACCCCAAACTAGGGGCTGGTAAACAAGGAAAAGAATAGCGAGGCCCTGGCCTGCAACTGAGCCCCAGATAGGCTTGATGACGTGGGGAGCGCGAATGTTGCTGAGATGGATAGGAGGGCCCCAACTAACCCTATGAAGGTGGAGAGGTCAAATTCGCGTGCCGATTGCCCTCGCTACCAAGCTTAACTGGACAGAGACCCACAAAAGCGGCGTGCAAAGACAGAGGGTGCTGTCTGTCGGTCACCAGTCCCCGCAGCCTCTGGACGGACTGGCGGCGGCGTCCGGGACTGGGTGGGACGGGCTGGGTTGGGGCGGGCAGCCCTGGCCAGGCTCTGCCCCTGGGCGGCCCTGAGGACTGGGCCACTACGCGGGGAAGCCTCTTGAGGGAAAGGCCCGGTGTCAGAGGGCAGGGGGTGGCATCTGGGTGGACCCAGTTAGTATTCTAATTAACCTTGTGCGCGTCTCCGGACGCTGGGGATCGAAAGCAGGCAGCTCGCTAATAATCCAGGCTGGTGTGCTTACTCCCTTTGTTTTCCTGCACAGACCCTGCCTCATCATTCTTAAAATGAGCCTGAAAGCTCTCCCTATGCTACTGCTTTAGCAACTGCTGTTGCTGCAGGGCTAAATCCTGTTAAACTTGTTTCTCTTACAACCTGGGAGGGGCCGGCTGCAGGTTTCTCTCTTCAGCGGTCTACCGTCCCTCCTCGACCCCCGTAATGCTTTTTCATCGTCTACCCTTTATCTTCCTTCATATTACACACTTTGGCTTACATTCATGTCTAACAATATTTTGGGGATCAGGGAGGAAGGAGGAGGTGATTAACTCCAAACCCAGGCAGCAATGCCCCATTTAAAAAAAAAAAAAAAAAAAAGGCAGTGAATGATCCTAACCCTTAAACAAGCTAAGATTCAAATTTTCTTGGGGCCACACCTTTGCCTGCCTTTCCATTTTCCAACTCCCTTTTTTTTTTTTTTTTTTTTTTTTGAGACAGGTTCTCATTATGCAGTTCAGGCTGCTCTTGAGCTCACTTTGTAGCCCAGGATAATCTCTAATTTGCAACAGTCCTGCCTCAGCCTCCCAAGTGCTGGAATTACTGGCATATGCCACCATAACCAGCTTCTTTTTTTTTTTTTTTTTTTTTTGTATCTGGAATTGAAGGCAGGACCTGGGGCTTGCCAAGCAGGTGCTGGTGCTGCTAAGCTATATCCCTGGCAATTTACTTAACTAGAGCCTAGCTCACTTCTCAAAATGGCTCATTTAACAACCATGTGGATACAATGGGCAGGGTGACATGCCTGTAATCCTAGTACCCTGGAGGCTGAGGCAAGAGAATGGCATGGGCCAAGCAGTTTGAGATCATCCTAGGCAACACAGCAAGATACCCTCAGTTTCACCCTTCCAAAGCAAACAATTTGCACACAGAACAGTGCAGACTTGCAGACACTGCCAAACTTACATTTGCTATTTCACCAATCAGTCTTTCTCCATCTAGCATTCTATCCTTAGCCTTATAACACTGTGAGCAGGTGAGATGAAGCCCCAGAAAACTAATGAGACAAATTTCTTTTAACTGAACTCTAGAGGAGTGGTCTCTTGTGAGAAACAGTTAAGTAATGTCCTTTCTGTCAAACAGGAGTGACTCCATCTTGGACTCTAGGCCCATTTTATTTATTTATTTATTTATTTTTGTCTTTTTCATTTTTATCAGTACCGGGGATTGAACTCACGACCACCTGCTTGCAAGGCAGGTGCTTATGCCGCTGAGCTAAATCCCCAGCCCCTAGGCCCATTTTAGATAGCCCTTCCTGAACACACTAAATTACAGAAAATGCTGACTCAGTTCCAATCCTGGGAACACAGCTACAAACCAAAGATAACTTAGCATGGGCCAAGAATTTTCTGGTCTCCACATCCCTCTCTGCTCTGCTCTCCATTTTCCTCAGAACCCCTCAAGTTCTCCTCTGAGTTGACCAATTGAAATACATAGTGAACCTCCAAACCAGCCAATGAAAAAGAGATCTGCTAGCTGTTCCTCCAGCAAAAAGGGCAACCCTCCTTTGTCCTGGGCCTGCTACCTCAAGCTTGGGCCCTTTTGCAAAAGTAAAAGCCCTTGCCTGAGATTTGTTGGTGTCTGCATGCTTCATTATCTGCATGACAAATTGAGTCTGACAAATTGAGTCTGAGGGCTCATTTCCAGCATTCTTGAGTTTCCAATGAACCTGCTCTGCAAGGTGGAATCCTTAAGTGGCCCCTGTTCACTACCTAGTCCTTTTTACTACCCTAACCCCACTGTACCCTCAAATATCCTGCCTCAGCTCTGAGCTTCACAGGAAGTGAAACTCTATTGTCTGTTTAGTAGACTAGCCTAGTACCCAACCCTGGGCCCCGGATGTGGCCCCCCTATCCTGAGGAGGAAGAGAAGAAAGAAGGCGGGGAGAACAGGCTGTTGTTTTTTCCTTTCTCTTTGTACATTGTGGTTTCTTTCTTTCTGACTTTTATGATGTGGTTGATTAAAGAAACAAGCACCTGGAACTGTAGGCATTAGACGCCTCTTCAGATGTTTCTTGGCCTTTCTTCCCCCACCCCCACCAATAACTGACTTGCGGTATAATGCAGCACAGATCCTAATGAAGATGAAAAGAAAGCTGGAATAAGACTGATTCCATCTTACTCGTTATTACAGAAATAACCTCATATGTCCACTTTGAAGTTCAATAAAAGTTTAAAAGGTTGGATGTGGTGGCACATACCTGTAATCTCAACACTTGTGAGGCTGAGACAGACTCACCAGGAATTTAAGGCAAGCCTGGGCAGCCACATAGAGTGGAAGGTCAACCCTAACTGCACAGCAAGACCCTACCTAAAAGAAAAAAAAACTTTAAAAGAATGTCTTTTTTTTTTGTACCAGGGATTGAATGTGTCTTTAAATTTGTGTAGAGTTTATTAGAAGAGGATCTACTCTTGTATGTTCACTTAGATGGCTCAGGGCAAGTAGACTTCTGCCACACATCAAGTCTCTCTAGTTCAGTTCTTAAACTGAGCTATTTTTGCCTGTCTATCAGTTAAGTACAGGCTCTTGTATACAGTCAGCCTTCAAAAAGCATATGTTGACTATGACTGAGGAGGTCATATAGAAAATGAACTTGGTTACGATAAAGAAAAATTAAGAATCAAGGATGAAAAAAAGAAAATAATCAAGGATGAGCAAATACGGGAGGAAAAAAGGATAGGCAAGTGTGGTGGAGAACTCCTGTAATCCCAGCTACTCAGGGCTGAGGCAAGAGGATCCGAGTTCTAGGCCAACCTGGGTTACATAAAAAGACCCTGTACAACCAGAGAGAGGGAGAGAGAGAGAGAGATAGGTGAAGAATGGGGGTGGTGGTGAGCATACACTTAACACATTGTAGGTTCAAACTCCAGCACAAAAAAAAAGAAAGAAAGAAAAAAGAAAAAAAAAATCATGAGGAGTGGCAGGGCCTGTTAATAAAACTGAAGATGAGACCTGTAGAGACACAAAAGCAGACAGACAGAGACCCTCCTCCCCACCTTGTACCAAATTCCCAGTTTAGATACAATAATAGTACTCTCAAACTCTATTACTACAGCACTTGTATCTGGTAAAAGTGGAGGAGTCCTTTCTACAAGCCTTTCTGAAATCTATCTAAACCTTCTGAGGTCCCTTCGTTTCCACTAGAGGGCCTTATATGTTCATTCCTTTTCTTCTCTGACCCCCTTCAAAAATATGTATATTGTGAGTGTGTATGGGTACAGATATATACAAACAACCACACATACACCCATGTACAGGCTTCCAGTTAGAAATCCCTCCACACCCACACACACCTCAGGTGTAAAATGGGCGATTCCAGGAACTCAAGGCATTGTTACTCTGCCCTACTTCAATGAAGGGTAGGAGGGCGCTCACAGGGGTTGGGGTGGAGCCAGGGAACAGGACGCCTGGGTCTCCATTCCTACCAGCAAGTCCGTGGGCCTCTGTGTCTCTCCCTCTTGCTCTACCAGCCTCAGCACCAACCATGCTGCTCCAAGAGCCTTGACAGCTCCTGAACAGCCTCCAGGCGGGAGAAGCTGAAAGGATCTCCTTTCCACCCCTACTTTGTGCCAGGGCCTTCTGCACCACCGCAAGGTCAGCGGGTAAAGTGGGAGGGTTAGGGCACGGAGGAAGGGCCCGCATAGGGCAGAGTGTTCTTTGCACCCAAACCTCCACCCTAGAATTAAAGCGAAGATAGCGTCTTGAGAAAAGCTGGTGGCTTTAGACTAGAGAAATAGATTGGAAAGGAAGGTGAGGAACTTGGCGAAGAAAATGGGCAGATTGTTTCAATTACTTAGGTGGTGTGGAGACATGGCAGGAGGGCCTGGATGGATCTGTGTGTGGGACGTGGAGTGAGGCTCTCTGGCCTTGTCAGGGCTGGGATCTAGGGAGTGTGCAGTCCTAGTGACTGAAAGGGGTTGGACAGGGAAGTCCAGGATGGCAGCAGTTAGAAGCCAGGAGGAAGGATGAGTGTTGGATGCACAGCTGCCAGTTCTTATCGGCAGCCAGCCTCCAACCTCGGCCTCCCAGGTCGGGGTTGAGGGCCGAGGCCGCAAGGGATTGCAAATAGGGGAAAGTACTATAGAGGCAGAGCTAGGCAGAGCTGCCGCGGGCAACAGCTCATGGGGAAAGTAGCCCTAGGCCTTGAAGACACGGGGAGGTGGGGGAGCAGGTCCTGTTGAACCGGGAGCCTGAAACGCGGGCCTGCCCGGCCCCGGAGTTCGGGAGTCGGGGGCGCGGGAGCGGCGGCGCAGCTGGGTGGGGGGCGGGCGGCTGTGTCGTCAGGCGCGGGGCGGCCCCGCGCGGCAGCGTCTGCTGCTCCGTCCGCGCTGCCCGCTAGGGCTCGGCTGCGGCGCGGGTGCCGGGCTCCGAGCGCACCTCCCGGGCCAGGTAGAGATTTCGCGCCCCGCGGCAGCGTCTGCCCCGACCCGGGGGCTTTGGAGGGGGCGTCCCGCGGGCTGGGCTCGCACTGCCAGGGCGGGAGGGAGGAAACGCGACAGCTGCGCGGGTGGGAGCTGGGACCCGGAGGTAGCGGGAGGGCTGGGCCAGCACCCAGTAGGTGGCGTTCCCCAGACCTCCCCTCTGTCCCCTCTCCCTCCTTGGAGGTATGACGAGCCAGCTCCTGGGGTCCCGACTCAGAACAAAGTCCCTTTGGGAACTCCACAAGGCCGTGCAGTGCCGGTTGAGGAAGCTTCTCTTTTTTTGTCCTCCTGTTTCCCAACTTCCCAT